ACCCCCCCCCCCCCCCCAAACTAGCTCAAGTATAGGCACTAGCTGTAGCAATAGAAACAACCTCCATTCTGCGAAGCTTGCTTTCTAATTGTTCACGATGACGTCTCCTTGCATTATCATCTCCATCTGTCATCCCTTGAGATGCAAACTTGTCACTCTCTGCTACCAACTCCCCATTACAACTTTCACAGTGAAAATAATCATCATTTGGAGAAATCAACCGTATAGCATCCAAAGCAGTATATCTGGATACAATGGATAAACAAATTTAACCTTTCAATAAACACGAGGATTTAAAATAGATTGCATTGCAATGTGATGGGAAACCTTTTCCCACAGTTCGGACATATATACTCCTGAACTGTATTCTTGCAATCAAGCTCATCTCTAAGCTTTTTCTTCATGCGGTGTAATCTGTATCTCACAACATCATATATCTGCGAGGAGTGCATTTTGCCATTTCCATTTAATCATGACTAATGCCCGATTTATTTAACAGCAGCACATACAGAATTCAGGACATGCAAAATGGAATTTAAATAGCTTGAAGGCAAAATGAAAGAATATCCCTCCTGCAGCATGCAAGTTTGAAGAATATGTACATGACCTTCATAGGCATAATGCACAAGGGCTGCAGTCAATAACTTCAAACTATGCAATTTTGAGGGGCTTATAAACCATATATCTTGCCACAGCATAATAATATTTTGGTGAACACATTGTTGAAATTTGATTTAATATTGAATGAACAAAATTAACTCAGTACAGAATAAATAGTAGGAACCTGGGCATAGTCTAGACAGCAATAAGAATGTGTGTGCATCTTGACTTTTTCATCTTCTTTACCATTATGCTGAACATCAACGGCAGCAGCAACGGCAGCATTATATACTTTAGCACCTTTTGCTGACTGTAAAGTACCACAATAAATAAACAAATATATACATAAACGAAGGTTGTGCTTTACTATATTAAATCTTTAGTTTTCAATACGCATAGGCATATGCCAATTAATCCACTTATGTTCCCTTTGGATAAAATTCACATATAGGCACTATGGGAAATTTGGAAGCCCATAACTCTGTCCTAAAAAAAAGTAAGTAGCAGCCTGAATGAACTTCATAGCGCATCAAATAGTAACAGAAGCCCATTAATTTTTCAGATGCACGCATTCTTATACTACAGATATAAATTATACAGGTATGTAGTTCTTAATTACTTCACAACAAGATGCAATTTTTTAAGCACCGCCCCACCTCTGAGAGGCCAAAACATTGCCAAGCCTTTGAAAGGAAAGGCCCAAAAAAAGTAAAACAATAGATATCGTTTATTAGTTTGTGCTTCTTTTGTGCATTCATCAAGAAGAAATTTAAGCTCACGAATCAAGAGAAGAGAGCAACATATGCATGCTCAAGAAAAAGGTACAAATATGTATTTCTTATGTTCAAAAAGTTAGGAACAACTCACTTGACAAATGAATTACACCAAAGCTTCTGCTTTTTACAGATTATTTCTTAGGTTCATCACTAGTAAATTCTTCTCTTTCCATTAAGGAAACATATTTAAGACTCATGTTTTTGTGTCCATTGCCAATGGAGCTAAAATCATCGTAAATGACAATGTTTCACGTTTTGATAAATAATGAACAAGATCAAAATGCTACATAAAACTTCCATCGTTTCTTACTTTCAATGAAGTTTTGAGTAGTAAATGAAGCAATGCATCAAATGTCTTATGAAAACAATCTCTGTATTTCACAAGGGTAAGGCTGTGTACATCTTGACCCTCCAGGCCGCAACGAAGTTGGGATTATACTGGGTTGTTGTATTTAAGACTCATGTTTATAGTTGTACTCTGCACTAGAGTAGAACACAGACCAAATAGTAATAAATGTTGTCCAGCACAACAGGCAAGTTTTAACAAGTTGGAGGAAAATAGGTCTCATTTATATGCACCAGTAAAAATAGCCATGGCAGAAAGGTAAAACAGTATTGCCAACCATCATGATACAGCAGGAAAACCAACCTCTTTCCTATGATCCCTCGTGATCAGTTTTTCTTCTTCAAAAAAACGTAGTGTCCTTCGAAGTTGCTTTGTATGCAACTTCAAGTCCTTCGCCAAGTCTTCTTCCCTCACCCATTGCCGCCTAAAAATTGTATCAAATATACAAATCTAAAAACATATAGTGGTATTGGTATAAAAGAAACTTGATTGATGCGTACATAATTTTCCTATCCTAAAGTCCATAAAAAATTGTTTCTTTAATTGGATACAATAACAGCCTAGTAAGATCCCACAAAAGTAAGGTCTAAGAAGAGTGTGTGACATCATAATATGTATTTTGACTATTTTCTATTTGCATGACAAATATGGCGCAATGTTGAAACTAGTAATGTCCCATTACATGACTAAACTCAAGCTGAAAAAGGACATGACCTTAGATAGGAAGCTTTGGAGGTGGAGGATTATAATAGAAGGGTAGTACAGATTGTTTAGACTTAGGCCATGTTTGGCACTTGGCAGATCCGCCAAGAATTGGCTGTTTGACTATCATTAATGACTTGGACCTGCCAAAGAACAAAAAAAAATGTTTGGTGGATGGCTTTTGAAATTGGCTTCTTAATCTAAACAGCTAAAAATGAAAATGCCAGACCACCCAGCATTTCAATTTGGCATTTGCGGATCATTCCTTTTTTGCCCTTAGCGACACTCTGGTCTTCTCCATGCACCCTTGTGGATTTTTTTGTTTCTTTTTAAATTATGGGTTCATCTACTTTTTATTGATCTCAATTCTTTAAAATTTAAATTGTTTTTCTTCTCTTTTTTTTCTTTTCCTCTCATGAGTGTATTTTAAATCTATTCATTCTACCTATCAAAAACTCATTCAACCAAGAGTTTAAGGTCACGATTGGGACNATCTATAAACTAAAAGGTAGCATGTTTGTTATTTGTAAAATGACAAATGAATAAATATACAAAAAAAATCTACTCATAAAATGTAACGGTGAATTCTCATTTCCTAATCTGTTAAACAAAAATACAAAGTAGTCATTTTTTGGTAGAAAAATAGATATATGTAGAGTATTTGCTTGTATAATGTGTGTGATTAGTCAAAATAAAAAATCATACTCCCTTTGTCCTAATTTAAATGTTTCAGTTTACGGTGTTGTGCTGGATTTTTTTTCAAATCATTTTATATGAAAAATTACGTAGAATTAAAAAATAAAAATAACATATTTAAAAACTACATCAAAAAATCCATAAAACTAGTGGTGACATGACTATATTATTTTATCAAATTACTGACGAAAATAGTGAAAGAAAGTGTATGAAGTTTGACGATGTGCATATTAAATAGATAATTTGATTTGAGACGGAGGGAGTGCTAATTAAAATTAAACACAAATTAACAAAAATGAAGGGATGTCCTTTTATGTAATTTCACCCACAAACAGCTAATTATAAACAGCTAAATTTGCCAAACGTTTTTTTCTAAACAGCTAACACAAACAGCCGGTCAAACAGCTAACCCAATCAGCCATTCAAACCAGCCAACAGAAACAGCCAACAGCCAACTGCCAGGTTCCAAACAAGGCCTTAGCCTCTCTAGTTTGTGAGGTTGGGCATAGCCCTTCCATCCCTTTTTTCAGATTTATGCATGTTTGGTAGTTTTAAGGCTTGCGTAGATGTGCCCTTTTATGTGGTGCATATTTATAGCTAGTCTTTTTCTAACTCACTTCGGTTTTATTCCTTTTTTAGGAGAGGGTCTTTCACAAAAAACCTCTACACCCTTTACGAGTAGAGGTGAGATCTCTGTACATCCTATCTCCCCATAGCCCACTTGTGAGAATACACTGACAAACGTTGTTGTTGTAGTAATGTCTTGTTATGCTATAACAATATAAAATTAATGCCCCATTGTAGTTATGCCCCATTATGCTACAAAATTAAGCTTGTAGATGCCATGTATCTCTTGTATTTTTCCTTCCTTAAAAACATAACTAGTTGAAACATCATAATATGAACAGAGTATTTCCGGTTTGCATGACATATATGGTGCTACTTTGGAATATAACAACATAAAATCTACAAAATTAAGCTTGTAGATGCCCTATAACTCTTATGGTTTTTCCTTTTACATAAACCACAAACATAACTAGAAAACATGACTACGTCCACAAATGCATAATGCACAACGTAATATTACACAAAACTGTAAGCACTGTAAATTCAGAACCTTGTGAGGGCATCTAGAATCACAACAGCAATTCCCCGATTGTCGCTTCTACCTGACTTTGGCTGATTATCGCCTTTAGTTGTAATGTCATCATAGAAGGCTCTGGCTGCGAGTCTCACCAACCTATAAATAAATATAATTAAACAGGAGAGTCAAATATAAATCAGAAGCTGAAAACTACAAAATTCAGTGTCTAAATAGAAGTAGTTGAATGTTACTTGCCAACACTCTTTTGTTGATGAGGAGCTCTTTACTAGAATTAACAAATTTTATTATACTTGAAAAACAAGAATATCTTTACCTATTAAAAAGCTCGATACTCAAGTCCACAGACATCAGATTCAGCACCGGACTACAGTTAAGACTTTGAGGCTAAACTTTAAATGGACTATCGGAAGGATGCTTTTGGTGTTTTATTGCAACTAATGTCTAGGGTTGTTAAATCTTTTTAAAGGATTTTAATTCTTGTTCCAAACAGACAAATCCGGAAACCAGGATTGCAGTATTTCTTCCCTAATCGGACCAAACGCCGCCGATCAACATCACGACGATCTGCTCCTTGAGAGGGTTTCAGAAGAACACCGTAGGACTCCTGGAGTTGGCCTTGCGGAGGAGGTCGTTGGCGCCACCCCGGAGATGGAGGGCGGGGTGTTTTGGTCGAGGATCGGCGGGGTGTGTAGGTCGAGGATCGGCGGGGGTGAATGCTGCCCTCGTCGTTGAGGTTTGTTCGAATTGCCTCAAAGGCTTTGAAATTGAAAATAAGCACTCCCTGCCTTCTCGCCATACCTACCTAGGGTGGGCATGAACTCCTTGGGACATGTTAGAACAAATTCTTTAAAATTTGAACCGGCCCTAATCCGACTTGTTTAAAATCAGCCAATTGCATAGATCCAAACTTATGGGCATGTTTGGTGATTTTTAAACATGTGATATGGATTTAGAAATATGAGAAAATGATATGTGTTTCGAAATTTGAAGTGAAACTATTTAGAGATATTTAAAATTATATTTTAATTAGAGATTAACAGAGATCGTTGACAACGCAGGTGGTTGACGATGGTAGTGGTAGCCGGTGGCGTGGGACGACCAACGGTTGAGGAAATATCAAATTTTCACATAGTTATCGGGCGAGTATTCAAATGGCACCATACGAGGCTTTATATGGAAGAGGTGCAAGACTCCATTGTGTTAGACTAAATTGAGCAAATCGAGGTTGGAGGGTACCAAGGTTGTTCATGAGACCGAGGAAAAGATTAAGGTAATCTGAGAGCGTTTACATGTTGCATCTGATTGATAGAGAGTCCATGTTGTTGAGGAAGTAACTTGGGAGACTGAAGTGTCCATGAGAGTCCAATATTCTCATCTATTCCCCAACAGTGACATGGGTAATTTTGAGAATCAAATCCTTTTAAGGGGATGAGAAATGTAACGCCTAGAAAAACGGCTTATTATTATTGATTGATTTACATATTTAATTAATTGCAAAATGGGCCCGAGTAAGGGAAAAATCATAATTTAGGTTTTTAATCAAATAAGTTATATCATTTTATAGAGTTTGTTCAATCGAACGCAACAACGCAGATGAATCCTGAATCTGAGTTACGGAATTAAAGTTTTGGGAAACAGACAAGGTAATATGGACTTGAACCAATCCTAATTAGGTTGGAATTAAACTGAACATATATGTATACATGTAATACACGAACACTGACTTACATGTTCTCTTCTGCCAAATGACTTCGTCCCCAACAACACCATCAGCCTTCATCGACCATCATCTCATTTGCTTCTTCCTTTTTGGTTGTGAGACGGAGACCGACTGTAACACCCTAATCCGTCTAGGTCTCTAGCCCCTTTCGGGCTAAAGTATTAACTTGGTAATCGTAATAATTTAAAACTTTTCAGCACTTTATTTATCACAATAATATTTTAGATACAGTACAGAGTATTCAATAATATTGCGGAAGCGAATTTAATATTGACATATCATGATTCATTTCAAAACTTGTCACATCCATCCCGATAATCTCGCCCCATCTGCTGCCAGAATCACATTATTCTTTCTATTTACCTGCGTGTAGCAAATAAAACACACTACACGCTCAGCGGTAAAGCTGAGTAAGCATATCTAATGCATCGAACATCCATATAAACTGAATCTAAATTCATAATCAAATCATTTGATATCATTCACACAATGTTCATTTCAGACATTCACAGTTTTGATATTGTTTAGTTTATATCAACACATTTTATTCAATTCAGATATTATTTCGATAGTACTCTTAAATTATTCTTTATCTAAGGCCAAATAATAATAAAAATGCTCTAAGTTATTCTTAGTCTAAGGCCAGATCATAACAATGCTCTTAGCTATTCTTAGTCTAAGTCCAGATCATAATTTTGATAACCAGACTCTTAAACTATGGCTAGTTTAAGGCCATTAACTAGACTCTTAAAAAGACAATTAATAATCAGACACTTAAACTATCATTAATTTAAGGCAATTGATTTCAGACTCTTAACTCTAGTTAGTTAAGGCAACAACAATATAGTGATTGATCAATGTCGGATCGGGGCATTCCCAAATGAGCGATCCTCTAGTTTGGTCTACGAATCCCGTTTTATGCTTCTTTATCTAATTCATCAAATATTCATGTTTTATAAGTCAGTTCAATTACGAGATCTATTCTAGAGGTCTTCTAGATAGCTTTAACATCAATTAACTAAATGAGTATATATATCTTAGAGTTCGTCTAGATATCCTAACAATACAAATTGTTTCATAAATAACAATATATTCATTTTACTCATGGTTTAATCATCCATAATCATTTTAATGAGTAAGTTTATCATTCACAATCATCCATAACAATTATTTATCATAATCATCAATCAACATAACAATCGATAGCAATTAGCGGCCTAGCTTCGAGTGTTAACACCCAAACTTACCGTCATGCATCACATAACATTTTTTGTTAAAAACATCATTTTTATTGTGAAAAATCATCTTTATAATGATCATAATCAATTGGTATCAAAAATAAGATTTTAGATATCAAAAATAGCATTTTCAGATCAGATTTTCGGGGGATCGATCTAGCCCTCTGGATCGATCCAGACTAGAAGAAACACTCCTAGTGGATCGATCCAGGCCATATGATCTATCCACACAGTGGTTTTTCAGCCACTGTTCATCTTCTTCAACCTTCGGTCCATTTTTCGGAAATACCATTTTTAGTCACCGAACTTCAACTAAATTATATAGAAATGTTCTACAATGTTCATAGATCATTTTGGTATCATTAGTTCATAGTTTTTACATCAATTTCATGGTTTATGATTCTTGGTTCTTCAAGCATGTCAAATATAAAATTCAACCAAATGAGCGTTTATGAACGTAGAAACGATCTATACGAACATTCTAGTCACTAGATATATCTACGGGCTTACCTCGAAGCTTAACAAAGGTTTTGGAAATTTTCCAACGAAACTTTCACTGAGGTTTGTAATTAGCTCCAGCGTCCTCTCACCAAATTGGCAGCACCACAATATTCCTTACACTCTCAAGAACACAATGGGAGAATAAGTAGAGAGAATGGTGTAGAAATGAGAAGGGTTGCTTCTCCTTATATAGGGAAGAAGAGAA